AGCAGCAAAGCTCCACGCGCTCCCTTCCACCCCGCGGGGTTGCCGGGTGTCTCGGAGCGATCCCGCCGCTCTGCCCGAACCGGCCGGGTCTCTGCGGCGCTCGGAGCAGCGCGACGGCCGCGGGACGCGCTCGGAGCACCCGCAGGAACGCGCCGAGCGGGGCTGGCGCTGATGCAAACGCATCCCAAGGAAGCGTCTCAAAACATTAGGGCAATCAAAGCATCTAGCGGGATTTAGCGTTGGAATTTCAACACCATAACACAGGAAAATAAAAGAGTGTTTCCACCCCAGAGCACCAAGTGCCTGGATTTTAATGCAATCCATTTTTCCAAAGAAGAGAAGTCTTCAAGCATAAGTGTGATGAATAATTCATTTTAGCGTAAACCTTTTGAATCTAATCACTACCTCTTCACTGTTTAACACAGAGCAGAGATTTGTAATGGTGCCATAACATATTTTGCAGTGGTTCTTATGTCAGAAAACGAGTATTTTCCAACATAAAAATAAAAAAGTACAAGAAGTATTTACCTTAAATGAAATACATTTATCTTAAATGAAAGATAAAGCAATAACACAAATTTCCCAAGAGACTAATATTTCTAATACTGTGTTTTAGTTACACTTCTGATCTGAAAAAATTAAGCAGAAGTGTCACAACAATATATGAATTAAGAGTATTTTGGAAACAGTTAAGTTTCATCTAAACAATTTTGCATTGAATCCAAAATAAATTATAGAAGACAAATCTTTAGTAATACACTCTATGGAAGAAGAAAAGTGAGAATATCTGGCATAAATTATAGGAGAGTAACATTTTAAAGATGTTGCCGTATTGAAAGACTGTGGATAGAAGCATTTTGGTTCTAACATTTTCCTGTGAACACCCGAACATCCAGCGAAGAGGCCGACGCGCTCGCGGCGCGGAGCACGGCCACGGCCCTGGCTCAACAGCAGCCCTGTCCCACCAGGGTTTCCAGGCACGTGGGAGTCCCCGCTTCCACACGCTGAGATGTCACCTGCCCTTTCACTGACGGTCCTTGAAGCCCCTGCAAGAATCTGGGAGCAGATGCTGCTTTTCCACTGAAGTCCAGACTCCTCCCGATCTCGGTGCAGGTGAGAACAACGTGCCTGTTCTTCTCAAAAAACAAACAGAAATCCCAATCCCAGATGGGTGAATTCCGAAGGTGTTTAAGGGCTGTGTCCTGCCTGGAGCCGCACGGAGCGGAGGCCGGGCCGGGGCCCGGAAAGGACCACGCAGACGTGTGTAACCCGCACGGCTGCTCCCGCGCGTCTCCACGGGACAGCGGGGCTCCCCGCTCGGCGCCGACCGCGCGAGGACGCGGCCCGGCCCGCGCGGCCCCGCGGAAACCTCCGGGCGATCGGCTTGTTCCCCCCGTTACAAAACCCTTTTAATTCTGCATACTCAAAATGCTCCAGACTGTGACGCAATGACAGGTATTTCCAACCTGACCGATGGCCTTTTGTATAAAATCTCTCTTCGCATTAGAAGAACTAAGGAGGAAATTGGGAGGAAATGGCAGGGCCATTTGTCTTCTTCAAATGTTTTTTTCAAACTTCTGAGAATCTAAGAGAAGCTGCACTGTAATGAGCTGATAACCCTTGCCAAAGGAAACCAAGGGAAGAAGGGTTTGCCTTCCTCTTCCCTTGCTCACGGCGGGCACCGGCTCCAGCCACCAGCAGCCTCGGAAGGAATTTCACACCATTAGACATGAAAATTCACGTTCAGAACCGAAGCTTAAGGATCACAAATTAAAGTTAAATAGAGAATTAGCAGGAATTTGTCTGATTTCTTGCCTAGCCTGCGCTACAAATTTTCTCAATCGCCCTTCAAGAATCCTGATGCTTCTGGATAAGCTGAAACTCTTCTTTGCTGGAAAGAAGTAACTTGATTCAAAAGTCTAACTGATAAATCCAGCCCAACTCTTGCTAAACCGCTCCGACCGTTCATTTCACAGATAAAAGGAGAATTTTTCAATCATTTCTCTAGCTCCATTTGCAAGGAGGCCTGTCTCAAAGCCGCCTCAGATTGATGGGCCCCTGATCAACGAGGGACAGCAAGGATGCTGAGCATGCACTTAAAGGCCAAATATATGACAAACTAGACTTGAAAAGAGAAATCAGCATTTCCTAATCCACGTGGACAACGCAGGATTTCTGCAGTCTGCAGGAACAGGGCTCTCCTCTTTGAGAGCACAGCTTGCGGCAGCGCTCCCGCAGACCGGGCACTGCCCCACGGCGCCACGCGCTGCCCCACGGCGCCGCGCGAGATCCCGTCCCGTCCCTCGTCCTCACGCCGGGCTGCAGACACGTGTCAAACACGACAAGTCAGGGGCAGAATTAACCTTCTGCAACAGCCACAAGCACGGTGATAAGAGCTGATTTCTTGTTTAACGGGGCCAGTGGAATCAGCAGGTTCTGGCACTTCAAAACCTGCTTCAAAACTGTCTGAGAGCAACGTGTTGAGGGCAGCACCGCGTGGCTCTGCTACGGGCAGCGAGAGCGGCCGCTGCGACCAAAGCCAGGCAGGTTGGGCTTTCTGTGCCTCTGTGATGCCTCGAGCTTTCCACAGCCTTGCACGCTACCTAGACACACTCACCTTATACGCACTCATAGCTACTCGGCAGAAGTGTATTTAAACAAACAAACAAAGATAAGCCAATGTCATGGTCATAGGAGGAGGCAGAGGAACCAGCAACTTCAAGCCCTTTTTTTTCCTGAAATAGCACCCTATATTCTTATAAAAGCATTACATAACTATAACAGAAAATATTTTTTTCTTTACCAGACACAATAACATTTTGGAAAAGCTTCAAATATGTTTCAAAATTCAAAGAGAATTTTTAAAAATCGAGATGGTAAAAAGTAAGACAATTAGCTAAGGAATGGGTACGTCCTTGAGCCTTTCTATTGGAGATGCTAACATCCACATACAACCAAACTGAAAAGCAAGTTTATTTTTCCATCCTTACTTTGGCACATTGCAGAGCCTGTTGAGTATTTTGGCATGTCACACAACTGAATTATTGAAATAGGTACTGTATGTAATGGCTTTTATTATGCACAAAAAAAATAAAAAGAAGAAAACCAAATGAAGGATACTTACTCCTGTGCTGACAAGAGACAGCATAATTCTTTCGTTTAAGGCTAATGTTTCTCCTTGCTTCATCTTGATTCTCTTCTTATCTAAACATTTCATTGCATACCTGAAAATATTAACCATTCAGAAAAAGCACTGGAAAAAGCTTCCTCATATGCACAGTACTTTTTACAAGCAGTTATGCAATGTATATTTACAGCAGCCTGTATAGAGCTTCTTTAAAAAAGCACATGATACTAAAACATGACAAAACAAGAAACCCCTCAAAATATCACAGCAGAAAAGACAACTTTCACTAGAAGCCGCCTGGCAAAAAGAGATCCTTAAGCAAACAGACCTGCGTGCAGCAGGAAGATACCATAATGATACGGGAATCATCGTAGGTCCATCCTCAATACCTTTAAGGAGGAATTTGCAGTTCGAACTAACACAGATCCCATTAGACCTCCGTTTAGTTTCAGCTCTATTGGGAAGGTAACATCCTGAGCACACAGTGTGATGTTAATGTTTTCCTGGTGTGCGTTCTCCTCCCAAGGATGCTCGGACACGCTCACGGCAGCTCTGCAGCCTCCTCAGCCTCATGGGAGGCAGCCCAGGCCGCGCTCCCTGCGCACGGGCAAGGCCGAAGGCCGCGCGATTCTTCTATCATCACGGTTTTTAATTAAAGTAGAACAACAAAGCTACAGCTTATGAAGTAGTAAAGCTCTGCTTGAAAAAGCGTCACCCTAACAAGCACCCCCAGGACACGTCACGGTCAGCGGGTGTTTTCCCAGAACGTTCACGAGCCTCCCACGAGGCAACGGCAGCAAGCGACACCGAGCGACATCTGCCTTCTCCTCTACCCATTCCCGGGCAGGGGCAGCCGCGGATTTTCCGGCAGAGGTGTGTGAATGATAACACCAAGAGAACAGCAAAACTGACCGGGGTTGATCTCGAGTTCCCCCTTAGAGGTCTGCTTAACATTGAAACTATAGTCCTGCCAACACAAGCACCGCTGCTTCTGCCACTGAAACGTGTGCTCACGAGGGCCAACCTGTTCATTTGTACAAGTGCAGAATGCCACACTCGGAATCTGCCCAGGCACGATCCTGCACACGGAAAAGCCCTGGGGTCTTATTCCCGTGCCAGCTTTTAGCCTTGCCTTGGGTGACTCCTCTCCCAGCTGCTCCGTCTCCACCTCCGTCACGGAGGGAGCCCAGACCCAGCTGGAACTGCCCCCCGAGGAGCAGGGGAAGCAGCAGCTACGTGATCCGCCGCATGGCAGAACAGCAGCCTACAGCAGAGCGGGGCTGACACCTCGCACGGCCACCCGTTTCCACAAGAACATCGTTCTGCGCTGTCAGGCTCTGATCCAGGAAATCAGTTAAGCACACACTTAATTTTAAACACATGTGCCGTCTCCAGTCATTTGGACAAGACCATTTAAGTGAAGGATGTGCTTCAGAGTTCTGCGAGATCGGAGCCTCGCTGCCGGAGACATGGCAGGATCAAATATCAAACAGAACAAAGATGATCCAGAAATTAAACACTCTTGGCAAAAAACATAATTCCAATGAAGTACGCAGTAATGTGACACTGCTCTGCAGTGATTTTCTAATAAATTATTGGAAGAATTTCTCACATAGTTCAGAGTTTACAATTATCTTTAAAATACACTGCACATATACTCACATTTTCCCAGTGTCTGCTTTTCTGCAGCCATACACCTCACCAAATCCTCCTCTTCCAATTATTCTATGTACACTAAAATCATTCATGGTCAGCTGCAAGGACAAAAAATAAGGTTCATTTTTCAATATTATGAAACTTACTGTGAAAATCTCTAAATAAGCTACTAATGTATTGAAGGCTTAACTATTACCATTCATATAATATTTCTTTAGAAAATGCAGCACCTTAGTGTTTATTTTTCAATATACTTGCAAGTACTAGAGAGTAACAAAAAGCACTAGGGTAAAAAAGCGAGCGTTGTCAGCGAAGCCCCTGGCAGGTCTCGTTCTGCAGAACAGGATGGCTGTTTCTACAGACAAAGAAGCTGCACGAGGGGCACGTGGAAGGACAGGGCAGCAGCTAAGTCTAAGAAAGAGGAGACAGTATCTGAACTGTAATGGGAAGAAGAAGGGAAGATGGCGTGGGGTTGCCAAAGAAGCCCTTCTAGCACTTCAATTTCTTACAGTTATTATAAAATCGTAAGGCTATTAACTCAAGACAGGCAGAAAAGATGTCCAGAAAGGAATTGTTAAGAACTGAACATCTAAGAATAGAAGAGCAGAACAGCAACGTTCACGGTACTTCTTAATAAGGCCTCTTAAGAAGCAGTGTTCAAAAGAACATTTTCTTTCCCATATCAGCCTTTGACAAGATAAATACGCTTGTAGGTACTTACATGAATATTTAGTTCTACGTTTTTCCATTGACAAAATCTAGTAAACTTGTCACTGTAGGGGAAAAAAAAAAGTTAAAAAGTTACCTGAGCCTCCTGTTTACAGTATGACAGGAAATGTCAACACTCTGGTACTGAGAGCAGAATTTACTATAGGGCGAGTTGTGGTATTGGTATTTAGTAATCAATACCTTTATTTATAAACAATTGCAATCTCTCCCCCCAGTAATCACTCAATTGGGCCTACTTAATATTTTGCATCCTTATAAGAGAAAGAAACTACACGAGATAAACCCTGTAACAGTAAGTGCTCAATGTTTCCTTACATCATTCAGACTCCATTTTACATTTTTTTAACCCACAATCTAACTTTGGAACTAACAAACATTTAAATGACAGAAAGAAAAAGATAATTTTAAGAAAACAGAGGCAACTCAAGGTATCTTAATGAACCAAAGGAACATTTTAAACTAACTTCATTTTAAAATCGGAAAATCAGTATTATTGGAAGCTGTTGCCAGAAAGTTTTCGTATTCCCAAATAATTTATTAACTATTTATTTGAAAGAAAGACACTCTTCACACAAGGCATGCTGATGCTAAACAGAATTTCTGTGTTTTCAATCACATAGAAGAGACTGTTTCTCATGAAAATATGCTAAAAAAAACACAGTTTGAGATTTTTTAAAACCTTTAAGATCGATATAAGCAGTCTGGTCTTACTGGTCCCTGCAGCAACAGAATGATCTCCAACAAGCCTTAGAATTGTGTGCCCAATACTCCTGACATTTATCATGATATGCACAAAGTTAGCCATTTGCAGCTTGCTCGTTCTATATTAACAAGTCATCAAATTAAGTTTACTAAACATTTTTAGCTTTATTTAGGTAGAAAGTTCATACAATACATTATGTTCATACCTTTCCATAAATTTTTGAAATATTTTTCCTCGGAGACTATCACAAATTTCTTCTATATACGGCTAAAAAGGATTAAGAAACACATTTAATATTTGAGCACATCATAAACTCATTATGCAATACTATCCATTAAATACAATTCACGTGTTATAGTTGCAAAATTTGCTGCCATTAGAAGCTCGGAGTACCAGGATGTTTTAAAAGCCAGTGTCCAGTGCCGGGAAAAACCTGCACGGAGCAAGGGGCTCCCGACAGCTCCGCACGCGGAGCCACCGCACGGACAGCAACTGCCTTGGATTGGGTGTTCTTGAGCCTTCACAGGGCTTAGGAGGCTCCTCGAGGCACTGAAGCTTCATTTTATCTTTTGGAACCTGAGCAGTTGTGCTGAACATACAGTATTTCCATGAGATAGAAGACAGTTCTCCCTGTGGGGGCTGTATAAGCCCTGTGTATTAGCACCTACCTAGGGACGACGAAAGGAAGCCAGTACTGAAGCTTTGCAGGAGACCTGCAGCACCCAGCTGCAAGTTTCTTTTCTTTCACACATGTTTAAACCCAGCACATTTCACTCCCTTGCAGTCTACACTCCCCACAGAGCCACATTTAATTTCTCTGGTGCTTCTCTCCTTCCTGCCCTTACTAAGATATCAGCACCTTCAATTCATAAGTGAGCTTTCCTATAGAGAAATACTTTTTCGTGATGTGTTATGGCACGCAGTGATTTCAAATCCCAACCCAATTAGCAGTGAGCTCCAACTCCAGCAATGTAGTTATCAGCCTGACAGTTCCCCTAATTGCAACATTAAACACAGTTCACTGAACAGTAAGAAAATCAAGCAGGGGCAGTATTCACATTTTCTCAACGTATACAAATACTTCAGACGTATTGCAAAGGGAAACAAGCCCACAGACACTCCCATGACTGAGGAGGTTCGTAGCTGCAAAAAACGCACTGGTTTAATTCATCTTCACTACAAAAGTCGGCATCAATTTGAATTTCTTATCTTACATCAACCTCTATTAGAGCTGTAACCATACAATAAATATTTATTTTCTCCTTTATTTTCCAAAGAAAATTAAAACATAAAAAAGAATAATTCAGCAAATGAGCTATGATATTATTTATTTTTCTGTTTAAATTGAGTGCAAGCAATGCCTATACTTCTACATTTTTGTCTAGATTCTAGATTTTTTTAAAGAAATATTAAGAAAAGCACCATAATTTAAATCCGGCAGGAGTTCCTAATTCAAAAGGTAACTTCTGACTCGTTTTTGCCTTTTGGAAAGTCAGAAAAAACATGCAAGATAATGCAAATGGCAAATTCCTCACCATCATCAACTACAAATTAATTTACCTGAGAATTAAAGGAAAAATGTACATGTTTACGTATACATAACCCACTGTTCCACTAAATCTCCCTGCTTTCAAAGATTTCACATTAAACATTAAGGCCAATCCTCCACTCTGTGCCTGGTTCATGCAGGCAGGAAGTGCAGATTCCGGACGTAAAGCGATTTATTCTAAGCCATCTAAAGGATTTAAAATACACAATTTAAAAAACTATTTCTATTCACATACCAAGGTATATTTTGGTCTCCTAAGTGTGCTTTAAAATGCTTTAGAAAAGAAAACTAGCAATCTATCATTTGTAGTTAACTTAGACGAAGAGGTCAGAATGTTATTCTACTACAAAAAAGAATTTTTACCAAAACTTTAATTCTCTCTCCTTAAGTATGCATAAAGTCACTCACTGTCAAATAAGTGAGGAAAACTCGACCATTCAAGACTCTCTTAACCTACCTGAAAAAGGCTGGCTGGCACTTGTTTCTTGGCTAAATGCATTTGCACATGATCTACAGCTTGTTTTGAGAAAGGCTTTTGAAAAAGAAAAGGAAAGATTACAAACAGTTGGAAATGTTAAAAATTTCATTTAAGGTCTCCAGCACTGTCATTCCTTTAATTCTATGAGAAATAAAGGTATTTCAAAATGGATGCAATTAAGCTTTCACTAAGTATATTATATGAACTGTGCTGGATGCAGTATCAACCCCTTTCTTCTAAAGCCACAAGAGGAGAAAGGTGAAGAGAAGAGGGCAGCAACATGCTCCTCCAGCAGCTTGTGGGGTCAGCTACAGACACAGGAGTGGATGTGGCCCTTTCACCCCTAGGGACAATTGGGACAATTGGGACAATAGGGACAGCTCGACAGAGCTGCTTAAACCCCTCCCTCAACAGACTCCAGGCAACTAGGGTGAAACACTCGGCAAAGTGTTCTTGAAACAGAACTAAAACCAAATTAAACAGTGTTAACTGTATGTCCATAAGCCAAAACTTCAGCTGCAGTAAATGTGTGCATTCATTGACCTCAACCAAGCTGCATCTGTCACCACGTCACCACGCAGCCCCGTGGCTTCAGTTTGTCGTATTGCAGCTGCAGAGTCGACTGCCTCCAGCACAGTAAGGAAGATTGCCTGCTGCCAAGGGAGTCCACAGCAAACCTGCATGCGAGCAGCCTCAGCCGAGCCTCAACGTTTACTCTAAGCTTTCAGGGTTGTTGCAGGACCTGGGAGGCGAGTTGTTTTTTCTACTTATTTATTTATACATATACATTAGTGTGGGTGCGTGGCTGCACACAGATGCACTCGAATATAGACACACTAACTATCCGCATTCATTTTATCTTATTTTGAAACACAGCTTTAGCTTAAAGAAAATGTATAAAATAGATAAATCCTCCAAATATTTCCTTTGCGTATCACCAAATCTAATAAAAATTGGATTCTCACACTTCCTTCCTTCCTGGAAAAACAAAAAAGCTGAATTCAGACCAACCCAGTTCCCTGTGTTTCAAATTGAAAGCTGCAGTAAGAACCTATTCCTTCAGCAATGGTTGTAAGTGCTCTCTGGGTGATGCCGGTTAGTTTAAATCACCACAGCTTCCAAGCCCCTAAAGCAGTGCACGGAGGAGGTGACCGCGGGTGATACACACATGTGAACACGAGAGCAGCTCCTTCATTATGTACGTGTCGTAGATCCTGAGGC